GTATATAAGATTTATTTATATTATCATTATATATATATTTATATTATCATTAGTATATAAGATTTTATATATATGTAATATTTATATATAAGATTTATATATATTATATTACATATAATATATATATATATGTATGCATAAATCAATAAATATAGAAATTATAATATAGAAATAATATAGAAATTAACTTCTAAAAATGATATAAAATAGTAATTTTTTTCACATATTTTTTATCTTCATAAAAATATTAAAAATATTAAAAGTAATAAGTAATAAGAACGCATGCGTGTAAATCAGTATCTCAGACACCAATGCGTTCATGACAGTATAACGCAATATGTTATCATAAATTTGTTGAGATTTATTTAAGTCTGTGAAGTTATATCTTAAAAATTTAAATTACGTGAAATTATTTTGATATTTCTCGATTTTTCTATATTTGGATAATATTGCATTCAAAATTTTAATTTCTTATAAAATCAATTCGCAAAAAAATAAAATCAAATAATAGGTAAAGAAAAATAACAAGAAGAAAAAGGAATCATTATTCTTAGTGAAAGTTTTTCATCACGAAAACTCAATCTTTCATCAGCTACTCATATAATGAATGCAACCAATCAGGATGAAATTCATATGACAACAGTGAGTTCCTTTTTCTTTTTTTTATATAACTTTATTTTTAATTAAACTTTATTTATAGTTATTGATAATATAATATATTTTAAACTATCAGTAAGTTATTCATTAAATAATTTTATTTTGTAGAGACTTATTTATTTGTTAAAATTGTTTTGCACATTTAAAATATATAAATATAAAGATTTTAAAAATATTTTAAAATATCTTTTTAAAAAATAATTAAATAATAAAAATATTATATATTATATAATTTTATATAACAAAAAAAAATAATTTTTTTTTAGCCTGAATTAATTACAGCCCATGGTTATAAATCAGAAATACATCATATTTGGACAGAAGATGAATATTGTTTAGATATACATCGAGTTCTACCAAAATCATATCAAAATTCTAATTACAATGTAAGTAAATGAAAATTGATAAAAAATCAAAGATAAATATTTATTTTTAAGAGAAATATATTTTTTAGAAAGAATGTTATATAAATTATGCATTTATCTTTATAATATATTCTTTTAAAAAATTGAATTTTAAAAAT